CCAGAGCTGATTATATACATCGTGATGAGTATGACTCATTTGATTGAGTTTTCTTCTCTCTCTATGGAGTAAACCTCCTCTTCACTTGGGTGTGTAGAACCCTAGTTCCATGTGTTAGGATCAGTGTTGTATGAACCTATGGATGTTAAACTGATTGATTATATTCAATTGAAGTATGAGTATTTGAGTAGTTTGAATCTTGATCACATTCTCTTAATTTCTGCTTTAACCTAGTATATATAGAATCTAATTAGGTTAATAGAGCTTCTTCGATTGGAAGTAGTGAATCGTTCGTATGAGAGTTGATTGATTCATTACTCTTTACTGGAATTCATTCCAGTAGAGGAGATCTTCTTTTATCGCCTTAGCATTTTATTCCGGTGGAGGTTAGTCGCCCGCTGTCCAAGCTATTTTTGGATATTTCTATTTTGATCATCACTAAAACAACTAAAATAAATTACAACTCAGACCTAATTGAGGAGCTAGGGTGACGCAAACCTTAGTTACCCTTCTTGAATTTGAAAACCAAACAATTTACTTGATTTATTTGCTACTTTGTTTTCCTCAATTTCACGACAAATCTACAGCTAGATGATATAACATTCTTGGAGTAGGTTGTACACCTAGGACATGGGTTGACAAATAGAACGGAATCCACTTTACTGCATTCTCTTTCACTTGTTATACTTGGCATGTGTTAGGAGTGTTGTGTTTTAGTGAGCCAGTATTTCACTTAAGGAATCGTTACATCCATCAGAGGGAGGCTACTACATATATATGCTTGGCCCTAACCCTACTACGGGTTATACACGTAATTAAAAGAAAGATATTAATTACAAATAACTACACAAAGTTCTATCACCCTCACTCCAATTGATGGTGCTTATGCGAAATCAATTTGTAAGCCAGAAATCAGTGTCGTGCAGTAGTGACAACCCTTGTTAACAAATAGATTATCTTATCTTATGATGCGATATAAGAAAGATATCTGCCCTTCAACCACCAGCCGACGAATATGATGGACGTGTACCTCAATATGCTTCGTCCAATCATGAAGAAGAGGATTAGTAGCTATGTAGATAGAAATGGTATTGTCAGCATGCAACTTCATCAGAGGAGAACATTGTAGGTCGAGCTCTCCCAAGAAGGCGACAAAGCCATATGAGTTCTGATGTAACTTAGGATATGGATCGATATTCAGCTTTAGTAGAGGAATTGTACACATGATCCTGCTTCTTACACCACTACTAAGAAGGACAAAAAACCTTCACACACAAACCATACGTAGAACATCGTAATCCACACAACCCGCATAATCAGCATCAGCATACCCCTCGATCATCGGAGCCCCAGACGGTTAAAAGAAGGGACCCACATCTTGCATGCCACATAGATAGAACATAATGCAATTGACGACAACAAGATGAGAAGACAAGGGAGCCGACATAAACTGACTGATGACCTTGGATGGCTTAAGAGATCCGTTTCTCCATAAATTGCGAATAGTATTCACTAGTTTAACACTGCCGTTGAGGCTTGGGAGGATTTGCGGGAAAGATTTAGTGAAGGGAACGAGGTTCGTATATCCGACCTCTATGATGAGATTTCCGCTCTAAAGCAAGGCTCTCAGACTGTAAGTGCGTATTTCACTCGTTTTCAAGTTCTATGGGCGAAATTGTTGATCTTGCGGCCCCTTCCTTCCTGATCTTGCACTCCTCGTTGTGTCTGTACTGAAAAATCCATTCCTAGAGAATACATGTGCATGGATCAACTGATTCGATTTCTCAAGGGATTAAATAAGAATTTTTCTAGCGTGAGATCTCAGTTTCTATTAATGGATATGCTTCCCTCTATCAATAGAGTCTTCTCTGGATTCGTTCAACAAGTGAGGAAATGTGCCAGTTCTCAGTTGCCTCCGGTTGCCCTTGCTAGTCAAGGATCTACTACTCCTAATCAGCATGGTGCTGCTTCCGACCAAGCTAATGCGGCTCACAATCATGGTGGTGGTCGAAAAAGACCCTTATGCACTCATTGCGGCATCTACGACCACACCGTTGACAGGTGCTACAAGGTTCTAGGTTATACAATCTAAATACACATAAGATTTTCTACTCACGTGATACTGTATTTCAAGAACACGTTTATCCATTTCTAAACATGACATATCAGCTGGACTTTGATGCTTGTTTTCCTAACATTCTAGTTCTAGATTATGTTTATATTCCAGAAACACAAACTGTTTCTACTAATCCTCCTTCTCCTTCACCTCACGAGGAGCCTAAAACCGACCTTGTAGATATTATTCAAGCGGTTGAACCGCCTCCTAATATTCGCCCTCCTAGACTCAAGGTACAACCTCAGAAACTCAAGGATTTTGTGTGTGATTTCCCATCTTCTTATGTTTCGTACCCACATAATACATACGTGCCACTTCTGAAATTCTTGAACCTCGTACTTATAAAGAAGCCATACAAGATCCTCGCTGGGTTGAGGCATGTAATCTAGAACTATCAGCACTAGACAAAACCAAGACATGGACAATTGTTCAACTCCCTGTAAGTAAAATTCCTATTGGCAACATGTGGGTGTTCAAAATAAAATTTCTTGCTTCAGGTGTTATTGAGCGTTTTAAATCTCGTCTAGTTGCTAAGGGTTATACTCAAACATCAAGTTTAGATTATTTAGAGACTTTTGCTCCAGTTGTGAAGCATACTATAGTGTGTTTAGTTCTTTCATTGGCTGCTATTAATGGCTTGTTCTTGCATCAATTGGATGTTAATACAGCATTTCTTCATGGAGATTTAGATGAAGAGCTATACATGAAAATCCCACCAGGATTGGTTGTTCCTTCTCATTTCAAAAATCATGTTTGTCATTTTAATAAATCGCTTTACGGTATGAAACAAGCTAGTCGTCAATGGAATATCAATTGGGTAAATGCCACATTTGGTCACTGAGATTACTAAATCATGTCATGTTTAGACACTAGAAAATTAATATAAATTTTGGTCACTTTAATTACCGAAACATGTCACATTTAGTCACTCTCTCGTTAGTGTCCGTCCAACTTAATGGAGTTGGACGGACACTAACAGGAGAGTGACTAAATATGACATGTTTCAATAATTCGAGTGTCCGTCCAACTTTATGCTTGATTATTTTTTTGGTCTTCATAGCTCATAAAAAAGTAGTAATAGCAGGTCATTTAGCCTCTAAAACATTCTATTTAACAACAAATCGCTTCTTTGCCTCCAAAAGTTATACTAAAAGAATATAAAAATTCTATTTGATTTCGCATATATACGAAGGCAAACCTATAGAGGCCAATTAAAAAAATGCCGCTAAAAATATTGTCTCCAATTAATCAAAATCAAACATAAAAGAATAATATCTTTAGAGGCAAATAATAATCATTGTGGAGGCAAATAATATATTAGTCTTGTATAATACATTTTACTATTTTAGGAGGCTAATATTTTATGTGCCACTAATTTTAGCTGTTAAACTTAAAACCAAATTTTCTTGTAGTGCCATTTAGAAGCAACTTCCACATTCACAACATCAAAGCCAACTCTTTGGTCAAGAATCAAGATCAATGAGATCTATACTGAAAGCTAACAATTGGACAAAAGAGTTACACATCCATTTATTTATCCAAAGATGTAGAGTGAAAATAAGGAAACCACGCGTAAGGAGAAAACATGAAAGCATGTGAAAGAACTATGTCTGTAACAGAGAAAATTCAAATTTTAGAGGAAATGTATAATGACCCCGATACACGTGTCTTGAATAAAATATACATCCGTGAGTGATATATATCCTCAACCACTAGTACGCTCATAACCCACCGCCAGATATTTGAGAAGAGAGGAACGACACACGCACAAAGGAAATTACTAATGTTAATTTGAACCCGTCTCGCGGATATTATATGACATGACCCATAATGTGGCGAGCATTACTCGTCCCATAGTAGTGTGGGGTGGGGCATGGGTATCCATTTTCGACCCGCCCTTCCATACCTTGCCCGTTCTTGGCCTATTCTATCTCAATTTCTTACAATATCTATTCATATTTTTTCTACTTTGACTTTTCTTCAACTAGTTAGACTCATTCTTTCAACTAGTTTGACTCAATTACCAATTCTATTATCACTATTTTTCATTCATAAAGTGTTTCCCCTTCGTTTTATCTTGAAAAGTAAATTTTGTGTATTTTTTTGGGTAAATACAATATATTATCCATAACTATTAAGTAGCGGGGAATTATAGCCACAATTATCGAAATACAAATTATTAGCCATAACTATTGTTGTGGGTCAAGATTTGGCTAACAGCCTGTTACTGTTTTCAAATTTTTAACGTAGAAGGCCATGTCAGCATCGTAAAAAATATGATATGATGACTGCCACGTGGGAGCCAGCTCACCATCGTAAAAGTTTATTCATCATTACTAACAGAAGTGTTAATGAAAACTTAACGATTGGCTAATAATTTGTATTTCGATAGTTGTGGCTATAATTCCCCGCTGCTTAATAGTTATGGCTAATATATTGTATTTGCCCTATTTTTTTCAAATAACATATAAGAGTGGATCGACCCGCCCTATTCTGTACCGCACGAGTATTACCGCCCCGACCCACCATAACGTGAAACGAGACATAGGTATTAAGGTACCCACATGTCCCATTGCCATCACTAAAGGAAAGCCTAGAAGAACCGCAATGCAAACCCGAAGAGAGTAAGGATTTGTGGTAGCTATTGACGATCAATCCATCATCATAGATCCGAGAGATCTGCCCATTTCTGAACATATTTTGCCCATACAAAAATGGGCTTAAAGTTATAACAGATATAGGCCCAAGCAAGACCTTCTTCGTGGGTGGGCAAGATTTTGGGCCGTTGCATTTAAACAAAACGAGTAGGTGTCCCGTCACTGTCAGTCTGCAAACGATGATAGAAAATTCAAATTCCAATTTAGCCAAAACGACACCCCGGAAATCTCAATTCTGCGCGCTCTCCTTCCTTCAACCTCCAATCCACTCCACTAGCTTCCCTTGGAAGTCTCGCGAGTTTCAAGTAACAGAGTAACAGAAACTGCCCAACTCCCTCTCACACTCTTTCTGGTCTATCCTCCCTTACTGAAGCCTCAATTGGAGGCGAGATTTCTGATACAGTGTATTTCCCGGCGCTCTTCAGTGAAACAGAAGAATGAGAAGAACAACCAGACGATCGATTGCCGTTGCTCCTCTTGCCGAAGAAGATGTTCGAAGCTCGGTAAATCTCTTCCGCCTTTGCTCTCCTCTTCCTCTAGCTAGCTTTGGAATTCAATGATTCGATCTCCTGGCCGAAATCTAGTGTAATTAAAAAGAATGGTCCCTATGTTTACTAGCGTAGGCTTAGATGTGCTTTCGAGGAAGACAGATTAGCTGTAGAGAAGTTACAGAGCATTCGTTCGTTTCGCCTGCCAATCAGGGAGGTTCATGTTTTCTATGGTTACGTTTTCTTCCTCGAATTCGGTTTCATGAAGAAGATTAGAAGAGTACTCGCGTTATTTAGAGAGTTCAGTGTGTTGAGGGTTTCATGTAGGGTTTCTCTGTGTAATTGTGGTTTTTTTTTGTGTGGTTGGTGAAACTAATGTAGGTTACAAGCTTCAGCACTAAATTCTCCTTGCCCACGTTTGTCAAGAGAGTAGGGAAGCTTACAGATGATCAGATAAGTTTGATTAAAAAGACGGGTTTCGGTAACCTCTTGTTGTTGCCCAACCACATTGTGAGCAAAACCTTGCTGGTTGAATTGATGGATAGGTGGGATCAAGAAAAGCTTGGTTTTGAATTAGGTTCTGGGACAATGTCGATTACTCTAATGGATGTAGCCTTGATACTGGGTTTACCCGTGGTTGGGGATCCTGTTATTCTGAAGGACGATGAGCCATTTTCAGAATTAGAAATGGAGTTTGCTGCCAGTTCGAAGAGAAAGATCAGTATTTCGTCACTCGAGAGTCGTCTTGATTCGCTAGACAAGACCTGCAATGAAGATTTTGTACGGACCTTTTTGCTGTATACGATGGGGGTATTGCTTTTCCCTAACTCAAGCGGCAACGTAGATTCTAGATATTTATCTTTCTTGCAAGAATTGGATGACGTCTGTGACATAGCTTGGGGGGCTGCTGTTCTGGAAGATATACTTGTATGGTTGAAGAAAAGAAAAGAAACAGGCACTCAATCTATGGGAGGCTGCCTGATATTTCTCCAAGTGAGTTTTTTATTGACCTATATCTCGTTCCATATCGTTGGTTAATTGCTATGTTAAGTGTACGTAGAAAGAAAGAAAATGGCTTTACCAACCACAGGCATAGTTACTTCCACTCATCTTTTCTCCCGTCACAGGTATGGTCTTATGAGCACATTGACATAGCTCGGCCGAATCTCTTAGATACTGAGATGACATTTCCCCGAGTGTGTCGATGGCAGATCAGCAAATCACATCAAAAGCAGTGGTTTGCTAACAAGTTTACGGAACTTGAAGACCACCAGGTTTGTTCACTTGGCTATTGTACCCGGTCTATTCTTTTTTATCCTTTTTGACACTCGAACCTTATATTTTTCTTTTGGAGTATATGATAACTCATCTTGTTTGTTGAATATTAAAAACCATAGTGTTGTCATGCCAGGTAGTTTGGGAGCTAGAGCCAACTCCTGAAGAACAAACTCAGATTATAGTCAGGGATTTGCTGCGAATACAGAATGGTGACTATGAGCTGCTACCAGAGCAACAGAGTTATGTGCCTAATGTGAGTTTTTGCTCCTGATCGGGGGGATCCAAATTGAAGCCAGTAAAATCAAGTATCTAACTTGGGTTATTTTCTATGTTCCCATTCTATTTCTACCTAGACGCCCGAGGCGGAAGTGCTTATAGATTCTAGAGAAGAACTAGAAATGGAGAGTCCTAATATGGAAGAGCTGCAAGCATCCACATCTAGTTCTGAGTCCGACGATCATCAGAAACACCCTACCCTGATTTTAGCATCAGATGAATCTCACATGAAATCTCCTAATGCAGATAAGAATGTAAGTTAAAGTTTCTTTTGCATTTTTATCACGAATTCCCGTCTTTTAAATGACAAGAGTTAAATCTTCTCTTGTTTTCCCCCCTACTTCCATAAGGTGGCAGCAGCTATTGAGAACCTTTCAGGCACAACTATGGCGAGCGAGAGAGACGAACAACAAAGTGTTGATATGGGAAATCAGGAGGATCCGGGTTCAAATTCGAAGTTAATGCAGGTTCATACACAATCATGCACTCCCTCTCCCTTCTTTCCTTCTAGTTTATATCGTGCAAGGATTCACTAAATGGTGAAGTGGGAATACAGGAGGAAGTGTGGAGGAGAAGCAGCAGAAGTTTAAGAGAAGAGAACACCAAGCTGAAAGAGGAGATTGCAGCTTTAAGAGAAACGGTTATACCAGTTCTTCAAGAGGAGAATGCAACGTTAAGAGAAAGAGTTACAGTGATACCAGTTCTTGAAGAGGAGATTGCACGGCTAAAGGATCAAGTAGAAAGTTTGATCCGAGAGGATCAAATGCATCGCTTTCTGGCCGAGGAGTTTGACTATCGGATGTCAGCGATTCTGTTGGAGGACGACGAGGAGGACAAACCTCAAATATAGATTGCCTGGCTTAAACTCGAAAGTGGAACACATTCGCACAGTGAATCAGACTTCACTCAGCCTATTAATTAGGTATGTAATGTAGTAGTTTATGTGTTTGTACAGAATGATTTTTCACTCTCGCACTTTGCGTAAATTTATTACTGTTGTTTTTACTCTTTCCGAGTTGTTCACTGTAAAATATATCGCCGCCCATCCAGACATGTGGGGATGAATAATCAATGCCTGGAATGCGGGGAAATTTCTTTTATGACCTTGAGAACAGCAAGTGTGGTCACCATGCCTTGTTCAGTTTCAGTTTCGATGCATGGAGCATGGTACATCTTGTAATGTTTGGCTGAGATGGGCGTGGCATGGATCAAATGTGGTTCCCATTCCATGCTCGGCATTTGGGGTGAGCAACGACCGGATTGAATCGATAGAATATAATTTGATTTGGTTTTGATTTTATGAATGATTTTAAGTATGAAGAGAAAATAGGCCGAAATTGAGTTGGGATCGAATCAAATAAACTAAACGTGCTTTTAGTCTGGTTCAAGTCATCATTTTTTTGAGTTTATGGTTCAATTATATTTCAATTCGATCGGTTATGGATCAAATCGATTTATGCCCACCTCTAGTCGCCATCGCGTTTACAATTTTAGGACTGAGTGCACTGCAGGGAAGGGATGTGTGTGTGGGACTGGGAAATGTCCTCTCTGGCTATTGTGGATTATTAGGTGAAGTCCGTATGGGAGTAGGATACCATGTCATTAATAATGCTGTAAGGCCCATTGAATGCCTTATCGCAGGGATGGCATTGTTTTAATTTTGTGAATTGGCTGCTATGAGAGTAGCTAGGAATATGATGCAACGCGTTTGAATGAGTACGTTTTTTGCTATATGCTTTGAAGTTTTGGATGAAATCATGATTTTTTTTTATAGACATAGGTAGGTTTGCTGTGTGCTAGTTAAGAAATTCGAATATGTGATCTTCAGGTTCAAAACTGGTAATAGTTTCACTAGATCAAGTCCTTGTTCGTTGAAATCATGATTTTATGTAACTATCATTTTCAAAACCAAATATTACGACACATAATTAATCCTGGTTAAATGATTCAAAGAAAACTTGCAATGGGCTGTCATTGAATAGTCACATATATATGTTGTTTATATATATTGTTTGTTCTCGGAAATCGGAATGTAGTTTTGGCTTAACCATTCTTCTAGTTCTTACTTTTAGGCTTTTTATTTGTTCGTAGGGTTGCTTAGATTGGCAGTGATACGCCACTGCGGACATTAATATTCATCGCATAGATTGGAGACTAAACTGATGTCTGATACGATTCTAGCATTAGTAACTCGTACATAGCTTGGAGCCAAACTTCCATAGATTAACTGGGCAAGACAGTCACAGCACGAAACAGAGCAACACCATTACAAATCTCCTAATATTAGACAACGCTAGATACCATAGTACGTAAGGAAGAGCAACACAACACTAAAAACACAAGACTGACAGTAGACAACTTCTGGCAACCAAAGTCTCTCTCTCTCTCTCTCTCTGTTATTTCATCAACAGAAAACACATAACTATAACACCATCTTCCATGCGTCTACCCTGCTCCGCCATCCTCCGATCCATGCGTCTACCTGACCCTGCAACAGAGAAAACAGAACCATTACATAAAACGTATAAACGAGTTATAACTACTGATTCATTCATTCATTCATTCATTCATTACCTGGAGCAGTCAATGGAAGGGTCGATCTTGAAGGGCAGGTTGACGCCACAGCTGGCAGGGAGCGAGGTGGCAAGGCGGAGGCTGTAAGGGCTGATGTTGATCCCGCGGAGATTAGAGACGAGGCAGCTGCAAATCGCCTGGCGGTCTGGGGTGGTGGTGGCCGCATTTCTAAGGGCCACGATCCCGTTGCAGCAGCTCCCAGGGATGTTCCCACCGTACTGGACGTAGGTCAGGCAAGGGTACAGCGCGTTGATCACCTGCCCACAGCTCACTGCCGCCGTCGCACCTCTACTCATCGTCGTCAGAGTCACGGTCAAGGCCAGCATCACGGCCACGAAGGCAGAGGAAGCAGTAGAGCTCGCCATTTGGGGTTGTTTGAAGGTGAGCGGAGAAGTTGGAAATGTAGTAATGGAGGAGTGTGGAGTGATTGGTGAAGTGGGTCGAGGGTGGATTTTATAGAGGGAAAGGAGGGCATTAACTTTTTTAAGGGATGGGTAGTTGGGGATGTGGTTACGTTTGAATGTGATTAGGTAGAGCGACGTTAAATGCTCTAGTTGGCTGTAGTTTTTGCCTAGTGATATATAGGAATAGGATACATATATAGTCGTATTTACACCGGCAGTGTGAAAAGGGGCTTGCTATTTGCCGCCAAACAAATTGCTATTTGCCGCCAACTAAAAAAAAAAAAAAAAAAAAAAAAAAGAAGAAGAAAGTATATATGTACATCTTTGGTTAAGTTTTTTCACAACCTACAACATTTTCATGTTTCAGAAAACGTATTGAATCAGAAAAAATCGACGCTCGCCGGAAAAGTCGCCGGAAAACCATCGGGAAAGCCCATCCTCGACGTAAACTGCGGTCACGCATCCATGAATCATCACTAAGCAGGTGCGTCAACTTTTTTTTAGTTTCGAACAATTTTTCCGACGATTTTTAACGAACAGAGAATGGGCCGAAATTTTCCGGCGGCCGGAACCTGGCCGGGCCGAAAATTTTCGGCGGCCGGAACCTGGCCGGGCCGACGGAAAAAGGTGGCCGGAGCCTGGCCGAGCCGAAAAATATTTTCGGCCCGGCCAGGCTCCGGCCACCTTTTTCCTTCGGCCCGGCCAGGTTCCGGCCGCCGAAAATTTTCGGCCCGGCCAGGTTCCGGCCGCCGGAAGTTTTCGGCCCGGCCAGGTTCCGGCCGCCGGAAAATTTCGGCCCACCCTGTTCGTTGCAAATCGTCGGAAAAATTCGATTTTAGGAGTTGAATTTAGAGTTTAGGAGTTGAATTTAGAGTTTAGGAGTTGAATTTAGCGTTTAGGAGTTGAATTTAGCGGTTAAGAGTTGAAATTAGCGTTTAGGTTCGCAAGAATATTGATGTGTTATATTGTAATTGTAGGAAAAATGTCAGAGTGGTTACCGGCCGATCATGATTACACAGCAGAATTTGAGAATGGGATCCATTATGCAAGTGTGGAGTTAGCTGAGTTAGCTGCAATAGCAATCGCTCAGGAGAACGGGTTCTTTATTGTTAGAGGAGCATGGAAACCGAATACTTCTGGACTTACTGCCCTCTGTATGTATTGCGACAGAAGCAGTAGGATCGTTAAATCTTATAAACCAGACCCTACGAAGGAGACGCGTGGGAATACTAGTTCGAAGGGTACTGGTTGCCAGTTTCAGATATGTATTAAGGAAGTATGGCAAAAGGATCGTCCAAACACATGGGTCCTAGTGGGAGTGACAAGTCGTGCAACCGGAGCTAATAGAGGGTTTCACAACCATGAAAAGGTGTTGTATCCAGAACATCACCGACACAACAAACAGTTTAGTGAGGCTGAAAAAGAGAGGTTAAGATTAATGAGGAAGGCGGGGGTGAGACCAAATCAGCAGAAGACGACACTCAATACTGAAGGGGGTGTGAGTCATGATATCAAACAGATGTACAACAGAAATTACAAGAACAGATTGGATGAGATGGGTGAAATGGATGCGATACAGTTTGCGCTTCATGGAGCTGAACAACGTGGGTACCATATCTGTTTGCAAAAGGACTCTAATAATGTGCTCACTAATCTGTTTTTTGCGCACCCGACGTCCATTCAGATGTTGCATGCATGGCCGTACGTCATCATCATTGACTCGACCTACAAGACGAATAGGTATGGCTGGCCATGGGTTGAGATTATTGGGGTTACTCCAGTCAAGAAGAATTTCAACATTGCATGTGCACTTATTAAGCAGGAAACTAAGGAAACATATGAGTGGGTGCTGCGATGTATTAAAGGGTTGCTCGGTGATACGGTTCCGAATGTCATTGTGACAGACAAAGAAGGTGGTCTGCTTGCCAAAAGGCAAGTGGAAAGTGTTCGTGTCTGGCTGCCACCTCTCCACAAAAGCTGAGATCAAAGCCTCGTCAATCGCTATCCTGCGGAACATAGAGTAGATCAGGTGCTGGAGACCTGACTGCTGAACCAGATCCTCCGCCTCAACATGACTAAACACGTAGTTCCCAAGATAGTCAACCGCCCCTGTACGGGTGTAGCAACTGATGACCCCTCGATCTCCAAGCCCCGTCCAAAGTGCGTAGGAAGCGTGGCCACGGAAGCTCCTAATGAGGCTAGGATCCGTAGGTCCACCAGGACACTCACCAACAAGCTCCCACGGTGGAGGACCACTCGAACGTCCTCCCCTACTCCGTCCAGTCCCCGAGCTCTCTGTCTCCTGACGAGCAGGTGGTACGAATCGCCCAGCTCGGTCCCTATACATAGCAGGACGTGATGTCGCCGTACGATCCTGCACTCGTCCATGTCCATGCGTAGGTGGAGGGACATCGACATCCTCATCATTATCGTCCTCATCTCTATCGTCCTCATCAAACTCAGCAGAGACCACTCTCGATGCAGCACCCTGGTTCCCCCCATGGGAACCAGACGCCCGTGATGACGAACGAGCAACTAAAGTAGGAGCCTCTGACTGATGTCCAATATCTCGAGTGCGCTTCTTCTCCTTATTCTTCTGAGGCACCTTCCTTCGTGTTGATGCATCAACAACCCTACCATTGAATCTACCCAACTCACTCCCACCCGCATCATCCATATCTAATTATCTACAAATTTACACAATATCATACTTAGATGCGCACTAATTAATTAAATTTCGATTAACTAATTAATTGTTAATTAATCACTAATTAATCAATATCATACATAGATGCGCACTAATTAATTAAATTTCTATTAACTAATGTACTATTAACATTAATTGTTAATTAATCACTAATTAACTGCAAGTCTATTAACTAATGTACTATTAACATTAATTGTTAAACCAATTCTTAATTATTTAATTTTCTATTAACTAATCTAAGTAATTAAAAAAACATTTAATTAAGTAGTTAATCGAAATTAACTAATTAAGTAACTTTTATTGACTAATTAATTAACATATTAAATTAAATTAAATTAAAAAAACATGCCGGGCCGAAAAAAAATAGCGGCCGGCGCGCCGCCGGGCCGAAAAAAAATTGCGGCCGGCGCGTCGCCGGGCCGAAAAGATTCTGCGGCCGGGACGTGGCCGGGCCGAAATATTTTTTCGGCCGGGACGTGGCCGGGCCGAAACATTTTTTCGGCCGGCGCGACGCTCAGCCGAAAAAATATTTCGGCCCGGCCACGTTCCGGCCGCAAATTTTTTTCGGCCGGTCGCCGAACGCGCCGCCGGAAAACTTTTCGGCGGCGCTTTCGGCGACCGGCCGAAAAAAATTTGCGGCCGGAACGTCGCCGGGCCGAAAGAATTTTTCGGCTGGGCGTCGCGCCGGCCGAAATATTTTTTCGGCCCGGCCACGTTCCGGCCGCCAAATTCTTTCGGCCCACCGTGTTTTTCGCCGGAAAACTGGAAAAATCGCCGGAAAAACAGAAAAAATTATCGGAAAAAGTAAACTTACTTGTTTCCGACGATTGAGGACGACGGGAAGTTGGCCGGCGACGGAGGAACTGTGCCGGCGACGGAGGCACTGGGCTCGTCGACAAAAGTGTTTTGTTGGAATGAGGTAATGTTATGGTATTCAAATTTATAGGAAGGGAAGGAAGGGGAGAATTCAAAATTTGAATTTTTTTTTTTTTTTTTTTTGTTGGCGGCAAATAACAATTTGGTTGGCGGCAAATAGCCGTTCACGTGTGAAAAAGGGTGTCCTTTTGTGTATTCCCGACACTGTTGGAGTTTTGATGTGATTGGTCATGTAACTGTTAATTTTTTTTTTTACCCTATAGTGGGACAGAAATGGAAATAGATGCAAGAGCTTTTCGTTTGACCACAACAGCAGAAGAGAGCAATAACTTTGGCGGGGTATTGGGTCGGAACTCTCGTAAATCATAATCACGTTGAGCGAGCCAATGGGCCGGGACGGGTTAGATTTGAGTAGCTAGTGCATCCGTAAAAAAATTAAATAAAAGAAGGATCATAGTTATAATATAGGGATGGGAAAAATATAAGTAACAGTTGATATCCGTCCGAATGCACTCTAATCGAGTAGGGTAAAACTCGAATTCGAAAGATTTTTAGTGGGTACGGGTAAAATCCAAACTCAAATGTTTGATAAAACTACATAATAGAGGGGATATTATACCTATAACCCATAAAATAACCAATTCGTTTGTAATCAAGGTTGTCAACGCGCGGATTGACCCGAACCCGGTTTATGTAGTGGGTCAAGGATTAACGGGTCACCCGTTTTAGCCCGGACATATGGAAAGAGTCATTATATTGTACTTATCCTGATAAATTATATCGAATCTCATCTAACATATGAGTAATAACATATAATATTACACCAAAGTAAAATGTCGTACTTAGATCCAACATATAGTGAAAATTCACACACACTTATATAACATCAATATTCAAATGTTCAACTAAAGATTCCAAAGATTAAGTTAGGCGAAAAGAATAATCGGAAAATAGGCGCATTTCGCAAACCATAGAAAAAAAGGACACAATTTGACCTCCAACCCGATACCTTGTAGCAATCGACCCAACGGGTGCGTACGACCGATTTTCTTACCGGGTCAGGGTCAAAGTGGGTCAACCCGGGAATGACAACCTTGATTGTAACCGAAAACCAAACTACTCCAATCAATTAGATTTTCGGTTGTGAGAGAGAGTGCAAAAATTGTTCCGGTTTGGTCCAGTTAAAACGGCTAAAAATAGGATGCATAACCATGGGTTATGCACTCATCAATAACTAAATCTGGACCTTTTATTTAGAAAATTCAGATATAAGGATGGAGAATTAAAGGTGATTTTTATTTTCCTAGCTTTCTTAATCGGCTCATATCTTCTTCGTTTTAACTCGGATTTTAATTTTTTTTTGCACAGATGGAACGTGTTCATTGTGCTCTACAAAAAGAGATACATTTTTAATATTTCTTGAGAAAAAATTTCTTGCCTCTCGGTACC